CTACAAAGGTTATTTGCTTCTACATACTTCTCTATATTTGCATAGATTTAGAAAACAACAGTAGTTTGGGGAGATGATATAAGGCACAAGGGAAGATCAAAATAGCCACTTCCTTCCCTGAAAACTCCTACGTTAACCACTTCTCCAAAGCTAGAGAGTTTTTCCTACTCTACCTTAACCTGCTAGTTTCTAAGCTCTCAGATTTTTAAAAGCTTAATCATCCATATCGTGCAAGTCGCAGCATGATGAAGGCTGGTCACTGCCGAGAGGTTGATGCATTCCCACCAGGGCTTGGAAGCAAATTGGACCCCAAATCCCTAACCAGAATGAACCTTTCATATGCATGAGCCGCAGATCCTATCAAAACATTAACAATTCTTGAGTTACAATCCCGATCAAAGTTGTGTTTGATTTGTAATTTAACATACTATCTTAAACCAATTGGAACTCATATATTTGCTAATACTGGTGGCCCAGAGCAGCAAGTTATTCCATGAATGAAAACATTTGGTAATAGCTCTAGAGATGAGGGATGAGGATGAGAGGATAGGCCAGAGGACAGGCCAGAATGGGTTGTCTTTCTTCTTTTTTTTTTTTTTTTTTTTTTTTTGAGACAGAGTCTTACTCTGTCGCCGAGGCTGGAGTGCAGTGGCACTGTGTCAGTCACTGCAACCTCCGTCTCCTGGGTTCAAACAATTCTCCCGCCTTAGCCTCCTGAGTAGCTAGGATTACAGGCACCCATCACCATGCATGGCTAGTTTTTATATTTTTAGTAGAGGACGGGGTTTGACCATGTTGGCCAGGCTGGTCTTGAACTCCTGGCCTCAGGTGATCTGCCCGCCTTGGCCTCCCAAAGTGCTGGGATTACAGGCATGAGCCACCGCGCCCGACGAGTCTTTCTTCTTATAGTCAGTGGTCATAAGGCCCTTCGAGGAAGTGGCACCTTCATGTTTTCTCCTACATGTAATCAGAAGTCCACCTTCTCACTGAACAGCTTCCCTCCACTGACCTCAGGAAGTGGAGGATGAATAGGAGCAGCCAAGCTAATTAGGGGATTGAAGGCAGGGTCTTTGTCATCTATGATTAAGGAGAGGTGAGTCCTGTGGTGTGAGCTATACAGCCTCTGCCTCCCCTAGCTGGTCCAAACTCCAGTGAGTCAACACTGACCCTTAACCAGAGGTGGGTGAACAAAGCCTAGCACAGTTACAATAAGGGTAGATGGAGTGACGACTTATAGCTACTGAGAAAATCCATTACTTACCCTCAGATTATTCTTAATGGCAGTTTCTGAAAACTCTCTTTTCCTTTAAGGTATAGGACCTAAAGAATTCTACTCTTAAATTAGGTGTCCCGGCTGTCAGTCTTATAGCTAATTCCCAAATTATGAGAGTCCAATGCATTTTCCAAATATGTAATGACTCCCTTTTGTTCTACGTGGCTTCGCAAGGTATCTGAGATCATCTTAGAAAATGAAAAAAAGGTAAAATGCTTCATCCTAGAGGTAATTTTTTCCTCCTCAGACAGGTTGCACTTGCCCTGTGGAAATGAGACAATGAATGAGAAGGAACACCAGATGCTTCTTCCATCAGTCCTGATTGGGACTTAACAAGGTGTGCCCCACTGCTCAGGTTCCCCTCACCCTTTGAAACTTCTCTCAGTGTTGAATGGAACTCCACTTCTGTCTGTTCTGGAGAACCCAGCCAGGGCCTGAAGAAGGGATGCTCTGTATTTCTGAATACCAGCTTCTACACTTAACAGCTATGTTTGACTTTGGACAAGTTATTTAACCTCTCTAAGCCTCAGTTTTTCAACTTGAATGTGGAAATTGTAATAGGGACTGTTTCATTGAGTTGTCATTAGGGTTGAGTGGGATGATGTATACATACCTCTTTGCACAGTACCTGAGATTAATAAATATGGGGTTCATTAAATATTAGCTATTGTTACTCTTGATATCTTGCCAGCAGAAAAAGGGTGAGGCGCTGTCATCAAATATTTTTAACCTTCCTGAATGGCAAGTCTTTGTCTTTTTCTGGGTTTCTTCTGAGCTATGTATCATCCTTTAAGTAGGTGAACACAGAGCCTCTTGGGTACCTAACAAGAAGCCAGGCCACTGCTAATCAAAATCAGGCAGTGAGCAAATGTTAATTGTAAGAAAAACCAGGAAGATCTCCCATCATCTCTTGGGGCTTTTACTATTGCACTGATTAACTGTGAGCCAGACATTTTTTTTTTTTTTTTTTTTTTTGAGATGGACTCTCACTCTGTCGCTCAGGCCGGAGTGCAGTGCAGTGGTCCAATCTCGGCTTACTACAACCTCCTCCTCCCGGGTTCAAGACATTCTCCTGCCTCAGCCTCCCGAGTAGCTGTGACTACAGGTGCATGCCACCACGCCCGGCTAATTTTTGTATTTTTATTAGAGACGGGGTTTCACCATATTGGTCAGGCTGGTCTTGAACTCCTGACCTCATGATCCACCTGCCTCGGCCTCCCAAAGTGCTGGGATTACAGGCGTGAGCCACCGTGCCCAGCCCCCAGAACATTTAAAATAATAATAAGATCTGTGCCCCGACACATCAGCCAACTAGTTAACCTGAGGAATTTCAGCAGGGAAAGGGCTGCAGAAAAACTTGGTTCAGAGCTTAAGCAGAATCCATCTTGCTCCCTTTTTGACAGTCACGTTAGGTCTTTTGTCTGAGAAGGATTCCGTGTCCATCACTTAGTTTATCAGAGAATGTTTTTAAAGGCTCCTGAGAGCAGGCAAGAACGATTTCCCTCATCCTGTTGCTGTTAAGTGGGATATACAACCATTCTGATGCAAATCTTTTTTGGGAGAGGAAGGTTATCCAGGCTCCATGACTCTTCTATAAAAAGTTTAGGTCCTTTAATGGCGGTGACTCTAGATATTTGTGGGAAGAGAATGACTGGAAAGCTAGAACACATTCAAAATCCAAGGGCCAGAAAAATTTCAAGCTCCAGCCTCAGCCTCAGATCTCCGGGGACCAGCCCCATAAGAACCATCCATTCTAGTCCAACTTGCAAATGGAGCCCAAGAGTTGAACCTCGGCATGGGACTCAAGATGTCTTTAAAGTTCAGAAACACCTGGATTATCTGAAAGCGGAACTGGGTCCAGGTCCTGTGCTGAGGTCTCCAGTTTTCTCTAAGTAAAAGGTTTCTAGTGGAGAAAAAGCCTGTGGCCTCTGGGCAGAGATTTGTTCTATAGAGAAACGAAGGAAATGTGCAATAGAGAAAAGTTTTGCTCTGGAGCTCCCTCTACTGGCTCTTTGATAGCGATCCATCGCAGTTATCCCGCCCTGCCCTCTGGGTATTAATTTAAAGCATCCGAGCATCCTGGCACCTTGAAGCAAGGAGAAAAGGTGTCCTGAGGTGCCAAGGAAGATGAAACTGCAGATACTGGCTTCTTCTGCCTCCTTTACAATTTCATCTAATGTTTTGGGGGTGCCAGGATAGTGCTAAGCATTTTGTGTGCATTATTTCATTTAATACTCACCATAAACCTGCAATTTACAAATGAGGCAGCTGAGACCTGAAGAGATTAAATAAGGTCCTGGCATCACCATAGACTAGTAGACCTCCTTAGTGACCCTCATCGTTCTTATTACTCTCCTGAGTGACAACTCAAGAGAAGCAAGAGTCAACGGACAATGTGAGGTTGGAAGTGGCACTTGCTCTCGTCACCTAATATAAAGAGGCTCTGAGATTGCACCATAAACTTTCTGGTCCTACAGAATTTCAGCCCTGTTTGTTTTTTTATTCTTTTATTTTATTTTATTTTATTTATTTATTTAAGATGGAGTCTCACTCTGTTGCCCAGGCTGGAGTGTGCAGTGGTGCGATCTTGGCTCACTGCAAACTCCACCTCCTGGTTTCAAGCAATCTTCCCACTTCAGCCTCCTGAGTAGTTAGGATTACAGGCGTGCACCATCACACCTGGTTAATTTTTTCTGTATTTTTAGTAGAGAACGGGTTTCACCATGTTGGCCAGGCTGGTCTTGATCTCCTGACCTCAAGTGATCCACCCGCCTCAGCCTCCCAAAGTGGTGCTAGGATTACAGGCGTGAGCCACTGCACCCAGCCTCCTGTTTTGTTTTGTTTTTTAATTCATCCCTCAAGGCAATTAATTACATGGCAAAGCTTTGTCCAATCTGCACTCTCACTGTGATGCCCAGGTTGGAGAAAGCAGGGAACTACCATAGTGACTGAGAAGAGTTTCCATGACAGAAGTGAGGCCTTTTAAAATTTGTGGAACATGTTCATGCCTACTTTTAAAATAAAATTCCATGAGATAGGTAGGGCAGATAGTAGCCCATACATTTTACAGATTGGGAATTTAAGATACTGAGTGCCTAGTTCCAGGTTTTGTTTAGGGGCAAACGGCAGAGTCAAGGCCAGAATTGTCACTCTCAGCTTAAGTTCTGACTTTTTGGTTGGTGTTGGTTGGAACTCAGAGCCTAGCATGGGATTTTTAATTATATAAAATAAAGACTGTGAAGCTACCTTCTGTTTTACATCCAGATCCTTTCCTGAGTCTCTCTGTTTTGGGTTGGTTCATAATTGAGCTTCCTTGATATTGAGCCATTTGGGAATTGGGAATGACATAAGCCAGTCATCTTATTACTGTTGATCTCTCACCAGGTCCACATTTTAGAGATATCTAGGTCCCTGAGAGAATCCCAAATATTATTTCAGTTCTCCAGTAGCTCATGAAGCCGTAAATATTTCACCTCACCCAGGAGAATCAAAGCATTTTCACATTGGTTCTTATTGGGGAGTTGAGATATGGGTAAGTAATAGGAGTCCCATTCCTGCTTTGCCTGGGGTTTGGGTCTCCAATTTCACTGTCAGTGTCTCTTTAAATCTACACAGTGGCACAGTGGCTACACCAGACATTACTCAGCTCCCACCCCTGACTCAAGATTTTCCACTAGCTGCCCCTTCCCCTAAAAACAGAGTGATGTTATAATGGTATCAGAATGGCACCTGCTGATAACAACACCGAGATTACAAGAGCAGACTTTCTGCAGTGCCTCCTGAGCAATTGGTTGTCATTGTCCTAAACAGAACAGCTAGGTTAAAAAGATTTATCCATAATGTAACCTCCTGGACCTCAGCTATGGGTGGAAGCAACACTTTCTGGTTTGACCTCCTAATACCACAAACTCCACTTTGCCAGAAAAGTGACTTCTTAATGAATAGTCTGTTCAGACCGGCCAATTTGGAGTGTATTCATATTTCGCCACCTGCTGGTAAGACTGATCATCCCCTGGTCCAACTGTAGCTTTGAGCATCTGCGCCCCTGTTGCCCCCCCGCCACCAGGAAAGCCAAAATGGTCCCACCGAAGAAGGGGAGGGGAGAGCCTGGAACTGAACACTCACAGGGAATTATGAGTGATGGAATGTGGATTGCTGACACCATGTCCCTTTCCTCTTGCTTGTTGTAGGAGCGTCAACGACCAAGAGGAGACCAGATGAGTTTTCAAAGCAGTCCTCACACACCCAGGACACACCTCATCCTTTGCCTCGTGCTTTCTGCAATGTTGCTGTTCATGTTCATCTTCCTATTAACATTTGCCATAATAACACCTTATTGACCACCATTATTCCTCCATCCACCACCCACTCAGCTCCTTCTCTGAGGTGCCCTCTAATGGGCAGTGACTTTGGTCTCTATTTGGCAAATTATGTCCAGGTGGTTAACATTAATTTCTCTTTCTCCTATTTCTCCCTCATGCTAGACTTAGTCCAACACTCAGCCCCCTGTCAGGAAAACCATAGTAAATCCTACTTTCTGCCATAATGAAGTTACAAGACACTTTTCCAGAGCAGTCACACTCAATGAAGGGACCCAGAGTATATCTGAGTGTGATGTAATTGAAACCACATGGAAAGACTAGAAATACCTTGCCCCCAGTCAGATACAGTGAAAGAGCTTACTCAAGACTGGACTAAGATTTAGAATGTAGTGGAGCTAGGGAGGAGAAAGAGAAAGATCTTCAGAAGTGGATTGTCTCTGAATACAGGATGAAATCATCTAGATTTTTTTCTCCAATTAAATTTGCATTTCATTCAACCACATTGCAATGGCTTCATACTGGGCATTTTCATTTGAGACCCAGGCTTTTCTTCATGGGTCCTGAGCCACAGGTTCCTGGATGGTGAGGTAAGTGGCATTTGCCTGCACTGTCTAAGGTGATTTGTAGTGCTTTGATAAACCCTGTGCTGATGAGTCAGATCCACCCTGTTACGCCCTAAGATTTGTCCTCTATTGGTCCCTCTTTACCCAAATGCTCTTCAGGGATCCCAGCCCAGATGTAGATGTTAGTCCAGCCTCACAATGTTAATTTAGACCTCTATAAAACCAAAACAGATCCTGAGGATTGACCAAACCAGAATTTGTTGACGTCATAGTAATCTCTTTCTCAAAGACAATCACTACTACAAAAAGTGTAGCTCTCTGAAAACCCACCATATGTAGAAGGTGTATTTTCTCCCCTCCCCTTTTCTTTCTACTTTTATAGGTAAGCTAGCACTGATGGAAGATACCAGGTTTTCAAATGTGAGCTGAAGGTCTCTCTTCTCATGACAAGATTCAGATCCAATTCATTATTTAACTAATAACCTTTCCAATAAGTATAAAAAATCTTGCCTATCCAGCAGATATGTTAGTCCATTATTTCTCTATGTCTCACAGCCTATACTTATTGGACTAGGAATTAAAGAAATACAACCGCATTCTTTACTCTTGGCCTACCAGATACAGTAATCCAAGCTTAGTAGATGAGCAGCTAATTGCAAGGCTGCTTTAATAGTGAATGAATAAAAAGTTCTGCTAATTCAGACCTACCCAATACCCATGAATTTGTGATTGAGCTATCTCTCGACCTGCTGAATTCAGGAAAATAAACAACTGTCCTTCAACCACAAGGTTAAGGCCGAACGCATGCAGGTATCTCTAAGCATGCTTCAGATTGTTCTTTTTTCTCTGTGGCCATGCTTTCCAACCCCTGACACCTTTCTATTTAGCCTCTGCTAAGCTCAAGTGTACTGGAATCCTGATACCTGCCCCAGCCTCAGCCCCCTATCATGTGCTTGCTTTGGCTCCCCTGTCTTTGCTGAGATCCTCACCATGAAACCAACTCTAGGTATCCCTGAGTGACTCTCTAGGTTCTCATTCTCCCAAATGTGCCTTTTATCACCAAGGCATGGGAAAATCTATCATCTGGTTCTCCAAGGTGTCCAGCAGTTAGAATGGCTGAGAGAACAAGGGCATTTGAGTTTGCCCATGGATAATGGGGTTGTGCGAAAAGCAGATGTTGTCTCAACTGTTCTGAAGTTGAACAATGTAACTACTTTCAGGTGAATAGACTGTTGAGACTATTTTGAGTTGTTGATGGCAACCAAAAAAAAGTGGGGGAAGGGGTGGAATTCCAGCCACTTTCCTCCAGCAACCAGTGGTCCTTAAAACTTTCACCCTCAAATCTCCAAATATGCTGGCTTCTAAGAAGTGCTTCCCAAGACCGAATATACCTCTTGATCAGGGTAAGTGATGAAAATGTGTATTTAACAGGGGGAGGGGATCTTAAAATAGCCTGAATTATGCATGCTGTGGCCTATCTACCGCCACTGGGATAATGGCTCAGCCTATAAAGTTTTCAGAATCAGAAAAATGATCAGAGATGCTAGTTTCTAAAGGAGCGTTGGAGGACTAGGATAACTAGCTAACTCAAGGTGCATGTAGACTTTCTGCTGTTCTTACTTTAGGACAGCTTTCTTGGAAGACTGGACCAGGGAGTTCCTAATTCTTCCCTAGCACCATCTCAGGGGCATCCTTGGTGTGGGTGGAAACATGCTTGGATGCAGCAGCCTGAATGAATCTCAAGTTCACTGCATGTCCACCACAAACTGGTTGGTTTCAGACAAATTCCTTGAGTTTTGGATGGGACTGAACCAGCTAGGGCTTTCCTTGAAATAGGATGGAGGGGTCTCTTCTCAGAGACAGATAGCGTTGTTCAGGGGGCATCTATTGGCTAACAGGCTCCTTAGGAGGAATATATCAGTCTCGTTATTCAGAAAATGTCTGAGAAAGTCCCAGACACCTCCAACTCCACATGATGGGGAATAGACCTGGAATATTAAAGACCAGAGATTGGAATAGAGGCAACATGATGGAGTGGTGTGGCATGAGTGTTGGAGCCATACAGATATGAATTTGATCTGATCCTTAGTTTTGTAATTTCAAGCTCTAAGACTTTTGGAAAAGCAGCTTAAACGTTATGGTCTCTACTTCCTTAGCTTTCAAATGGGAAAAGTAACAACTGTTTTGGGAGTGATTCCTATGCTCAACAAGCCTAAGGGGTAGGTACCATTATCATAATGACACACAGAGAATTGCCTTAAGGATTAAGTAAACCTTCTTATGTAAAAGTGTCCGGCACAGTGTCTGGCATATAGTTGAAGCTGAAAAACTATTGGTTTCTTCTCTCTCCTCTTTTCCTTAGGCCAAAATAGTTCTGCTCCCTGATGAAGACACCTTTAGGAAAAGAGGAATCCCTTTCCTAGACTTCCTTCCTGAGGGACTTCCCTTGGTTGATATCCTGGGAACTGGACTGTTTTTCCTTCTCCAAATCCAGTACCTTACCCTACTGGCATTTTTCGTGGTGCTTGGGGAGGAGACAGTCGATGCAGGCAGGACGTTTCTGGGCTTCGCTCACCCTGAAAGACAGGAGACTCAGTTCTTTTCAAGGGCTTTGTGACAAGCAGCCTACTCCCACAAGCCCTCTGGGGGAGCATTAGGGGGAGCGAGTCCTCTTCATGCTTGGGGTGCCCTGTAATGAGTTGGCAATGCAGAGGCGGTTTTCACCTTGGACAGGTTCCACATCAGTCTATTCATTCGCAGGGTCTTTAACTTGACTGCTCAGACAGGAATTGGGCACCACAGCCCTTAGCACAGGATGATAAGACAGCTCAGGAAGCCAAGGTCACCAGCTCCAGCCCAGACATCCTCCAAAGGACCTGACTGAGGAGTAGGGGAAATGGAGATGCTAGCTATGGAGGTCTAACTTTCTGCAGATGTTTCTGCGGAGCTTCCAAGCCGCTCTCGCTCTGTCTCGATTACTGGATCGAGACAGAAACAAGGCAGAGAGGCGCCCTCTTCTGGGAGGGAGGAGCAGAGACATTGAATCCACCAGGAAGCCGGCGTTACACTAGCATAATTTTGGCTGCTGCCCTTAAAGTTCTGATGTGTATTTCTTCCATTTCCAACGCTACCTTATTTGTTAGGACTAGATTCTGGGTTTGCTTAAAAGCTGTTAGTGATTTTAAATGAATCTGTCTTGATCTCAACATCAGACGCAGTAACACTCAGCTACTATATACAGCATAGAAAGCAGGTTACATTCTAAAGTGCCCTGCTCTGTGTAGTTTAAGTAGTCCATACAGAAACCATGTGACTTCTGTGAATGTGCCCACACATGAATTTATGCTTACACATACCTAATCTCATATCTAAAAACATACCTACTCTGTGCCTTTAAAAACATGTTTAGCCTGACATTTTCATTAATCCAAGGAGACTTTATTGAAATACTGCCAGTGTCTCCTGTCCGTCTGGCCACATTTGATGACCCCATGTGATAAGTCATCTTCAGTGCAAGAACCAGGGCCGCCTCTCTCTCATTGATATTTCTCCTGACTGCACACCTCCCCACTGCAGCAACATTCTCACATGCATACATGCATGCAATAGTGAGCTAAAAATAAACAGCTGCTGATGGGCTGCCAGAGGGTGTCCTCCGTACACAGCAGATGTCCTCTGTCTCCCTTTAGTAGGCACAGCTCAAGCCACAGACAGGAATTGAGGGTACTGGACGGGATAAGCTTTACCTCAAATCTCTCAGGCAAGTTACAAAGAGTAGGAGAGCTTGAAAAGGGAGATGACAGCTGAGGCCCATGATCATTCTCTCCCAGGCCTTGTGCCCCAAATCCAAGGGATAACCTCTGGAAAAGTGTTTACTGGCATCAAAGGAAACCATTGCAGGGAAGGTTGATAATTAGGGTTAAGAAACAAGATCAGCCATTCCTCCAGCCATGATTGTAAATAGCTCTCTGCTTTTGGTTTCCCCCCTTTCAGGGCAGAAGTTATCCAAGTGGATCTAGAATATGTGTGCATTTAAGGAAGGTGATTTGTGTGCATGTGGTTTTCTTCACATCTTCCAATCTGTAAGAATTCTCCCTACCTCCATCACTCATCAATCAAGAAACCCTTTGTCATGCTGAGGTATGGCATTGCTTCTGCTGAAAACCTCAGATTCAGACACACCCCACACACACATGCACACCCTTCCTCACCCTTGGGAAGCAAGCTCCATTCAAATTGGTTTAAAAATAGCACTAATCCATTGAGCTCATTTTTCAGGGACGTTATTTTAAGTAGAAAAAAAGATATCCTGGTCTTTGAGAGGGAGAAAGGGTAAACGTCATCTCGCCTTAAAAAGTCCTGATAATGTCGCTGGAGAGTAAGCATTTGCAGTCTTTGTTGAATTTTCTCCTCCACCTACCATTCAACAAAAGTTGTTTATTCCCGAATACCGTGCCATCTGGGTATTTATAGAGGTGAGTTTCCTCTTCGGGTGGAGAGCAGAAGGGAAAGCCGCAGTAGCAAGCCGGACACTCCCCTCTGGGCACTCCCCACCGCCAGAACTGACGCCTTCGAGGGCGGTGGATTTGTGAATCAACTCCCCCTTCCCCCACACAGGGGAGCCCCTAAATGGCTGCTGGCCATTTGCAAAGGGTTGTGTGCATGTGTGTATTTAATTGCAGGCTTATTTTTTTCTGCTCTGGGAGTCTGTCCGTCTCTCTGTAACTTGGATCATTGCTCTCTGGGAAGCTGTATAGCTGGCTGATTCCGTGGGAGACCAGGCAGGATGCGTGGGCGCAGGAAACAGAAGAGGGAAAAGGAGGGAGAAAAAGAGAGCAGGAGAGAGCGAGCGGGAGCCTTAGAATCTGTTATTTGCGTCACTTGAAGAGCCGGGGCTATCTGCCCGACAAACACACAGAATTAATCCGAGTTATAG